AGTAAGCGTTAGAAGCCAAATTCTAACCCAGGCAGTCTGGCTCTAGAGCTCATACCCTGAAACCACTCCACCCTTGTTTGTACCAGACACCTGGCACAGGCCTGTGCCTCCCAACATTAAAGCCAAAGGTTCAAAGGGCTGGGCCAGTTCAGAGACCATCTGGTTCAGTGGCTTCCAAACCTTTTCATACTCTGCTGGACCCTGTTTCATCACATGCAGGGTCATGCGTCCTTAACAGTAGGCCGGGGAATGAAACAGATGAAAGCTACTGAGGAGAACGAGATTGTACGTTGTGGTTAAGAGCGTACGTGTGAGCGCGTGCGCTCGCGTGTGCCTGTGTCAGGAGGAGGGTGAGAGTGTGGGAAGTGGGATGGTCTCAAAGTCCTTCTCCTTGGCCCCCTATAGTGGCTCCAAGTTGTCTTTTTGAAAACCTACAGCTCCGGAGACATAAGGCAAAGATCACTCATTTTGTCTGCCCGTGTTTTACGGAGGTAGAATGAGGCACGGGGAGCTGGGTGTGGACCACGCTCCTGCTCCCACTGCCCTGTCCCCTTTCACTTGATCTCCTTGCTGTAACCAGGCCACTGCCCAACTCATGGCTCAAGGGCTATGACCAGTCAAGGACACACTCACTCCAAACATCACATCCAAGTCTCGCCCTGGATTGCCTGGATGTCTGATCACTTCTAACTTTCCAGCTGGCTGGGGACAGTCACCAGAAGGCTTTTGAGGGCAGGCCAAACGGAAGACAAGCTTTGAAGTGGTTTGGTAGTATCAGGAACGTCGATGTCAATGGCAGGAAAATGGTCATCTACAAGTGGTGGGCGGAGGGGGTCACCTAGAAGATCCTTATTTTCAAGTCCAATCACACCTCTTGTCCACTTTGAGTGAGGTGGCCAGGGGAGGAGGGAGAGAGCAGCTCTCCCCTCGCCAGTCCCCAGCACGTCATGAGGCTCATTCTTCCAGACAGAACGTGTCTGGGATGTCAGACCTACTTACGAGACAACTTTGCTGTCCTCCCTGCCACCTGCCTTCCCTTCTGGGTTTGCCATCATGCCCCTTTGTTGCTTCAGCAGTTGGCAGCTGGACCGGCTGAGTGTTCCAGGAAACAAGCTCACAGGAGATCTGTGGCCTGATTGAAGTAGGGAGGGGAGCCCTGTAGGGCAGGGTGGGAACCAGCAATCGCGATGCTTCCTAGCAAGTCCTGGCGATGCTGAATGACGGCGTGGACTTTCCACACAGAGCCAATGGAAGAACACCCTCAGGACCACAGGGAGGAAAGGCAGCCGGGCATCCTCACCTTCCTACTCTCTTCTCTCACATTCAGGGTTACACTAAAGGCTACAGGTGATACACTTCATTTCAGAGAGCACCTCCAGGATATCAGACACGACGCTAGGTGAAAAATGGAGATAAAGCCAGTCCTCCCGAGGCTTCCGGTATGAAGGGAGAGGCTAACTTAAATCAGATTATAGAGTTTATAATCAGCAGTAAGTTCATAAAGGAGACATAAGGAGCCGGAACATATAGCTGGGGTTTGATGGAGTCTAGGGGTTGGGGCAGGGGACACTTCCCCATGGCCATGACATGAGGTCTGCAGGGTAGGTAAAGTGACTAGGAGAGGAGGTAGGAAGAATATGCAGATGGAGGGAGGAGCAAGTGCAAAAGCACTGAGGCCACAGGACACGCTTCTTTCTCCACCATGAAATCCAATGCCCTGTTCACGTCCACACATCTGATTCATCCGTCACCTGCTACATCACACACTCTCTATACTTTCTCATTTCTTCTTTCTCAAGGTGTTAGAGAGGCAGACACACAGACCAGGGTTAAGTGAAACGACTTGAGTTTATAGATGAAGCATAATGGCGACATCAAGGAGGGTCAGAATAGCCTAGAAGGCTGGTGGGTCAAGGGAAGTTCATGGTAGAAGAAAACGCTTGTGTAAGAGTGAGATGTCCTAGACAGAGTGAGTGAGGAATACAGTGAGAGTCTTAGGCGGGGGTACAGTTAAGCAAAAGCTCAAAGGGAGAAAACCACTTGGTACCTATAGAGATGAGATGACTTCCAGCATTTCAGCGTTGCTGGGAGACACACTGCAAAGCAGGGGGTGGCAGATTAGGCAGAGACCGCTTGTATGACGTTCTTGCGTGCGTTTACATTTTCTATGGATATTTACTGAGCATCTGCTACAAATTAGACCCCAGGGCTACGAGAGTGCACAAAATCAGACTCGGTCTACGGCCGGAGAATCAGGGCTCACACAAAGCAAGGACTCAGTCAAGTGAAAAAGCCAACCCACTAATTAGACAAACAGGAGTTGAGGGGATGACCGGGAGGAATACCTACAAGTCAGACTTTGTAGACCCTGTAGACTGCTGGTCTCCACGGGCAAAGGACGGAGAGGTTCTCAGAGGGTAGTTTTTTTTTTTCTAGCAGGAGTTTGAAACATGCTCAGATGCGCATTTTGAAAAGATGACTCTGGATGCCTCAGGGAAGGACATCTGTTCTGTCACTCGGAAACCCTCTCTCTCTCCTCACTGCTATCTGTCTGGCAACAGAGGGAAGCCATGGAATCTACTCTCCAGCATCATCTGGCCACGCGGAAATCCTAGCAGCTTCCAGCAGCTCCGCGTGCATGCAGCCATCTCGGATTACTAACCGCGATGCCTTCCCGACTGCCTCCGAGGCCAAATGCAACGTCTCGGCAACAATTATACTAATATTGGAGCTAGGAGTGAGCTGATGGAAAGCTGTTCATCCATGTAATGAGGTTTCAGTTGCATTTTAGAAAAGTGTCAGATAATTTGGTAGGAGACAGCAGAGTTTTTATTCTTTGTCAAGGGATGGGGGAGGTGGAACTTGAGTTCCTTAGCTTCAACCACAATGGGAGAAATGTCAACTGTACATGAGATGCTCAAGGCAGAATAAGCAAATGTGGAGAGAGCAGTGACAGCAAGAGAAACCCAGGACCACACGGGGATGGGAGGGGAGGGGAAGTGGGCATAAACGTAATCATCACCTAATGGGGATCAAGCAACACCTACGCCATCTTACTTAAATATGACTGCTCTATGGGGCAGGTGTTAACCCACTGGACACAGGGCTCAGAGAGGTGAATTCAAATCTGTATCTAATTATAAAGTCTGATTTTAGAAAGATCTGACATTATGATCCATCTGTGGATAAAAAGCACTAATCACCACGTGTCTTGGTGTAGAACTGGGGTCTGTTTCATATAAAGGGAACATCTTTCCCACCAAGCTCAGGTGGAGCTCAATACTGTAGGTTCCTATGTGACATGCACGTGACCTGATAGAGTCATTTCTTGGCCAGCGCTCCCAAGTGTGGGACAGGTAGTGATTTCTAAGGGGCACACGGAGCCCACATGGAATAAAACTGAATCACATGCTAAGAAAATTGGCTCTACTTCAACCCCTTCAGTTCTCCCAATTACATTAAGTCCGTGGTCGGCAGTGCCACATGCTCTGGGGAACCACCTGCGGTGCCTTAGTCAGCTCCCAGGTTCCAACCCCACCTCACAGATTCTGAGTTAGTCCCGTGCAGCGCTTCGCACATTTTAACGTCCTGCAAGCCCCTGGGGCGCCTTGGTAAGTGCAGATTTGAACTCCATGGGTGTGGGTGGGCTTGAGAGGCTGTGCTGCCAACAAAACCCAAGCTCCCAGGCGACGCCAGTGCTGCAGGTCAGGTGACCTCACTCTGCGCAGCTAGAGTCTAGGTGAGGGCAAGGCTGAGAACCACTGCTTTAAAGGTACTAGTTTTCACTGTGGTGCTAGTTTTTAAGGGTTTAAAAAAACTGTCAATTAGAATGAGTCACACGTATACACAGGACACAAATCAAATAGCAGTGACCCTCCCTCCCTATTCCTAATTGCCAGAAGCCCTTTCCCTGGATACAATAACTACTGTCATCCTTCCCACGGGATCATTGCCTATCCAAGCAGAGATGCATGTATGTATATGTATGTTCTTAAAAAAAAAAACTATGAGTAACTGTTTAGGTCATACTGTTCGCACTTTGCTTTTTTCACTTAATGTATCTTAGAGATAACTGTTCGTAACTGTTTCATAACTGTACATAAAGAAATATTCATTTTTAATGGTAAAATGTTTCAAATAGAATTTGCCATTTAAGTCACTTCAGTGTATGCTCAGTGGCATTAAATACACTCATACGGTTGTGTAACCATCATCACCACCCACCTCCAGTTTCCCAAACTGAAACTTCACACCCATGAAATGGTGCCAGTTAATACTGAACTGTTCTTTGAAACAAAGCAAGAGTTAGTCTCAGGGCCAGAGCTTTCAGCAGACAGTGGCATCTGCCTAGAGTTTACTCATGGTGCTCTGTGGTCCTCGTATTTAACTGTAGTTACCTTCTGTCATAAGCAATACTGATTTTCCAGTTAAGTGCTCCCCTTTTTTAAACTGAAGTATAGTTCATTTACAATGTTGTGTTAGTTTCTAGTGTATAGCAAAGTGATTCAGTAATATATATTTTCTCTTTCACATTCTTTTCTGTTATGGTTTAAAAGATATTTAATACAGTTCCCGTGTTATATAGTAAGAACTTGTTTTTTAAATTTTATATATAGTAGTTTGTATCTGCTAATCTCAAACTCATAATTTATCTTTGCCTTCCTTTCCCTTTTGGTAACCATAAGTTTGTTTTCTTTGTGAGTCTGTTTCTGTTTTGTGATTAAGTTCATTTGTATCTTATCTTAGATTCCACATATAAGTGATAGCATATGGTATGTATCTTTCTCTGGCTTACTTCACTTACTATGACAATCTCCAGGTCCATCTGTGTTGCTGCAAATGGCATTATTTCATTTTCTATGGCTGAGTAATATTCCGTTATACATATATACCACATCTTCAACCAGTCATCTGTCGATGGTTGCTTCCTCATCTTTGTTATTGTCAGTAGTGCTGCTTTGAACACTGAGGTGTGTATATCTTTTTGTAAAAGTAGTTCCCTTTTAAATAAACCTAAGTCACATCAAAATAATGATGTTGGGTAATAAGCATCACTGAAGGCTGCCCCTGGTCATGCAGCAGATGTGAAAGTTGCAGCTCAGGGAAAGGACACCATGAACTCATCTACAACAGAAACAGACTTGCAGACATAGTGAACATCTTATGGTTACCCGGCAAAGCGGGTGGGAGGGGATAAATTTGGGAGTTTGAGATTTGCAAATGTTAGTCACTATGTATAAAAATAGACTTTGTATAGCACAGGGGACTATGTTCAATATCTTGTAATAAACTTTAATGGAAAAAAATATGAAAACGAATGTACATATGTATATGCATGGCTGGGACATTGTGCTGTACACCAGAGACTGACACACTGTAACTGACTGTACTTCAATAAAAAAATTAAAATTAAAAAAAGTCCTGGCTCAGGAAGAACCGAAGCATGGGACACTTCTGCCCTCTTCCTGAGCTCCCGGCTGACCTTCCTCTTCACACACTAAGCAGGGACAGCAGCCTTCCCTTAGGGCCTCATAGCTGGTGCCCAGCAGCATCCTTTTCCAGGCCTTTTTCTCTAGGTCAGACCACACAGCAGACCCTCCTCTGTCACCCTTAGCAGAATGGTAACCAAGAATGAAGGTTCAGGCCCCTTAAGCGATTCTGTGTCCCACTGAGTCCAACAGGGAACCCAATCAACCCCAGACTCCTTACAGTAAGGCCACTGGAGATTGCCCTTCTAGAAAATGGTAGCTTTCAGTGGGTGGGTAACTGGCTTGAGAAAAGTCAGAGAAGGGCCAGCCTGCCTCTCACACGGGAGGATGCTATGGACTTCGGCGGGGGCGGTGGGGGCACTGGCTGTGCTGCCCATGATGGCTGGAGCTCCGGTTGGGAGGGCCAAGTCCTCGCATGGAGGCCAGGGCTCACCACCCACCAGCAGGTCACTCCACGTTCCACAGGTCAGGGCCTTGTTCCTGTACAAAATGGTGAGGTGGGGAGCTTGTGAAGGTTCAGGGAGGTAGTATATGGAAGTCTTTAGTGTTGAGCCTGGCACATTGTTAGTGCTCAAGGAATGGAAATCTTACTGCCCTGAACTCTTCCTGGAAGAGAGTTAGGGAGACGTGGGGAAAAAGTCGGGCCCTGGGACACTCAGGCCATCACTGCCCAGACAGATTCCACCTGTGACCCGAAGTGGGGAAGTGTGGGCAGGCCTTCTAGGGAAGCAGGGGCAGGAGAAACCGCATTTCTAGACAGGATGGAAATGACCAGCTCCATCCCCAAGACAGTCCAGACTAGCCAAGCAGAGAAATACTCTTAAGAACTGGCTGAAGGAAAACTTCTCCCCGAGTGAGGTAATTCCACGACCCGACACTTACCCACCTCACTTCTTTGTTTCCTCTTAAGCAAAAACAAGTACCTGAAAAATATGCAATAGATACTCTTTTTTAAGGAAGCTAATGCACTGATCCAGGGAATAAGCCCTTGAGCTCCTGGCATGGAGTCCCCCCCGGGGGGCAGGCGGGAAATAGTGACAAACAGGATGGAGACTCTCACGTTCCTGAGCCTACGTCCTACTGGTCCCCTCCCAGCCCCTGCCTCTGTGGCCCATTCAACTCCCCTGCGTCCAAGCTCTGCTTCTCTTGAGTGTCCTGGAAATGCAGTGGTATCTGGCGGTCGCAGAGGAAGAGAAAACAGATGGTTTTATTTTCGGAGGTAAGTACAAGCATTTGTTTGCAAGATCTCTCAATTGTTAGGAAACAAAATGTGAGATTTACACTTGGTGATGAGGTGTCTTGCTGTGACAGGGAGCGCAGACGGGGCTGCAGGGAAAATGAGTGATGGTGGGACATAGGCTGGGGCTGCTCTGGTCTCCCATCAGAAGGTGGGCAGAGGAGGAGCAGTGCGATGACATGTGGCCTGGAAAACGCCCTCAGCACGAGCTGCAAAAGCAGACTGTGCACAAGACAAAGACTTACGCGTGCTCTTGTGGTAGAAAAGGAAGAATTTCACATCGGACCGTCAGCCAGTGCCTCATCCTGGTCTGGGGGATGGAATTTCACATGGAAATCACTGGCTCAAATTCCATCTCCACCACTTGGCAGGTGTTTAACCTTACCAACCTCACTTTCCTCATCTTTCAAGTGACAATTGTAGCACTTATCTCATTAAGTTACTGGGAGAATTAAAGGTAATAGTGTATGTGTGTGTGTGTATATGTGTGTGTGTGTATACGTGTGTGTGTGTATACGTGTGTGTGTATACGTGTGTATATATGTGTGTATGTGTAACTGTGTGTATGTGTATGTGTATATGCGTGTGTATGTGTGTTTATGTGTGTATGTGTATATGCGTGTGTATGTGTGTGTGTATATATATGTGTGTGTGTATGTGTGTGTATATGTGTGTGTATATATGTGTGTGTGTATATATATGTCAGTGCAGTGCCCAGAACACAGTAAAAGTCTGATCAGTAAATATATGTAAAGATGAACACAATGAAAGCAGTGAGTGTTACGCTTCTGTGGAAAATAAGTCATTTGTGCAAGATCACATAGACACTGAGGGTCCAAGACGTAACTAGATTTCCCCGCCTCCTTGCTGCATTGACTCCTCTTCACAGCCCAGCTGCACAAGCGCCGCTTACAATGGAAGGCACTTTCTTGACAGGCAGCCACCATGCAGACCATCGTTTTACCTGCTTTTGTAAAGGATGCAATTCACAGGCCAGGCCTCCGGCTAAAATGCCAGCGACTGAATTGTCTCACAGCACTGAACGTAGGCTTCACAACCTGATCAGATCCAGCCTGCTTTTAAAGCAGGCTGAAAAGAGAGAAGGAAAACACTGGAACGGCTCGGAAGGGTTACTGTTCAAAAGGGTAGGAAATGGCGTGAGGGTGCCTTGGAGAGACAAACTCCACCCTCACATTTCCCGCCTGCGGTATTCCGGCGACTACAGGGTTATGGGAAGAAAGCCAAGCTGAGTAGTTAAGCAGCTCAGAGGTATGTGGATAAGATGAGGCAAAGGGAAAACCGGCTCAGGGGCCAGGGTGGGAAGGACCAGGGAAACCAGGTGAGGCAGGTTTGTCTACATCCCCCAGGGGGGTGGCCCAGCAGGACCGGTTTCTCCATGGCTAATGGGGAATATGTTATCGAAGCCTCTCAGAGAGGGTGATTCAGGCAGAAGGAGTTTGAGGCCATTGAGCACAGAGGTGAAGAACATGTGTTGAGTCGCACAGGTTTGGGTGTATGTCCGGGTGGCACGACTTTCCCCTGGGTGCCCTTGGCCAAGCCTGTGAGCTGTACGAATGCCGTCTTCCTCTTCCTTAAAATTAGGAGGATATACAGGAACCTCCTTGACAGTGTTGTTGTGTTAGGATTACATGAACTCATTAAATGCACCCACACAGAGCAAGGACTCAATAAAAGGAAGCCGCTACTAATTACTGTCATGATTTGGGAGCCATCTCAGAGCCAAGCACACTTGGTGCTGGCAGCAGCAGAACGGGGGCTTTCAGGGTATCGTGGTGCTCTGACACTGCAGCATCGAGTCCCCACCCAGGGAGAGTGAGCTGGTATAGTAACTCCAAAGTCTAACTGGGTCCTACGCCTGCTGGCATCTATCTGTCCTTGACCAGCCCAAGGCAGACCCCTGGCCAGTTTCTTCTGGTCACTTACACTGATATTGGTGCTAACTCAAGAGACCATCTACAGACCGATTTCAGCCAGCCAGCCAGCACAGGACAGTGTTATCACAGAGCTGAGACAAGTCTCCTAACTGGTGAGATCAGCACTCTGTCTTGGGGAAGAGCAGAGACACTGATTGCTTTTCATGAGCAAATTTATCACCCCAAGGCCAGTGTGGTTGCCTGCCCACACACAGAATCCTGAATAGAAGAGAAAGTTCTGCCCGGTTGATAGCCTAGAGACACCGCTTAAGACACTTCACTCACCAGCCTTAAGATAACAAAAGGGCATTACGTAGCTTTAACTACAAGCACGGAGGGAAAGCAGGTTGAGTCTTGGAGTAAGAACTCCTGTCAAATTGAGTTCCCAGAGGTATGTGTGTTTTCTTTAGAGTTAGAGGAGCTCAAGACACACAAGAGGGAAGGCTTGGGACGAACGCTGTTGGAGGCTCAGATCCTGATTCCAGGCCTATGACCTGACTCTGTCAGTTTCTACACTTTCAGGATAGGAGTAAGAGGACCTCGCTTATTAAGGGACTGAGGGCAGAGGAGCAGCAGCAAACATTTGAGAGGACGTTACATACCCAGCACTGTTTCTGTATCTTATGTGTGTCCACTCTGCTAATGTGCACACCACCACTGAGGGAAAGTTCAGTACATTTACAGGCGGGGAATCTGAAGCACAGAGTGGTTGAGAAACTTACCCAAGGTCACACAGCTAGCAACTGACTGAGCCCGGCACTCTAAACCCCAAGGCCACACCCTCAACACTGTGAAGAACTGCCTCAAGTTCACATGAGGAAAATGCTCCCTGTCAGTGGTGAGTATGAAGAGGTAGTTAATAAATGCTGACTGTCTTTATTGCATCATTAATCCCTGGCAGAGCATAAAGGACCTGCAAATTCTCCTCAGGATTTAAAGAATTTGAAACAGTTGGGGTTCAGCTTGGTAGAAAACCTCTTCTCTGGGTAAGGGCTAATGATTCTCATGTTCCCTTTTGGCAAGATACACCTTTTTGCTTTTCTTTTTTTCTTTTGAAAATATTTGTCATTTTCTTGAAAGGCCACTTGGAGAAAAGAAATTACCTGTAGAACATTTTTCTAAATCTTGGTAACCAAGATGTATGGGAAACGGTGAAATGACCCTGCATCATTTCCATGGACCTTGAACAGCATTATCTCATTGGATGGCATCCTGTGGGGACGGCAGGCCCAGGGATGTCCAACTGGGTATGAAGAGAGACCCCAAGGTAGTGCAGCCCAGTAGAAAGCAATGCACCTGACAGACAACAGCACGTGCTCTTCTGTCAACCAGTATGCACTTGAATCTGGGTTCCGTCACTTGTTACCTGATGACCTTGCAGCCTGAGTCTCACATTCCCCATTTCCAAAACTTAAAAAAAAAATTTTTTTTTTTTAGAGAATTTTGTTTTTGTTCGTTTTGTTTTGGCGGGGATAATTAGATTTTTTTTTTTTAATGGAGGTACTAGGGATTGAACCCAGGACCTTGTACATGTAAAGCACATGCTCTACCACTAAGCCATACCCTCCCTCACTTCCAAAAACAAGAACAGTCAGCATGAACATGAAGTGAGCTTATCCAGGGAATCCTCTTAACCCTAAGTCTGCAACAAAAGTCCGCTGCTAATATGGCTGTGTCTCCCACCATGGCCCAAGGAGTCGGGAGAGGATTACTGAGAAACCTGGCCAGGATTCAAGCCCACATCTCCGGACATGTAAGATCATTTTTCTTCCCATGATACAACTTTGCTTACAGACCCCTTCCTCCTCAGAAAATCATCAGGCCTCTGGTTTGGCTCCTAATTCAGAGATCTATTTGCTTTCAAAAAAGGCATTAAAAAAAAAACCTGGACTTCAAGAAAAGCACACGGGAGAGGAGCCTAAGGTAAGGACTGCCTTAAAACAAGAATCACAGAACCACCCGAGGGTCAGACAGGAACATCAGAGGTCCCTTAAGCCAAATAGAGACAGGCCCAGGGCTGATGCCAGGAAGGCGTACCGCACATTACAACGAAGAACACGTAAGACCAAGACAGGACCCATAAAAACCAGCAGCATGTGAAATTCTGCCAAGTGCTGTGTGCCTGCCAAGGAGGAAGTGCCACTGGGCTGGATCTGAAGGCTGCTTGCTGCAAAGCAAACAGGCTGGCTGTTAATTAAAGTGAGTAAGTCGATTCCTGAGGTAGCTGCCCGGGAGGAGGAACCCTGCAGACAAGTCTCTTCCTGAGGGATGTCTTCTGCAATTGTGGATTTGCTGCAAGTCAAATTCTCCAGAACAAACACACTTCCCTACATACTCTCTGCTCCTCACCGCTTGCAGGGCCGGGTGCTTGTGAGCAGAGCTTTATTCCACTGGCTTCTCCAACACTGTCACACTGAATACTCTGCAAAGGGCTGGCATCACCTCACAGCAACCTTCCCGGCTACAGAGGGCAGCTGTTCTCATTCCATTTACAGAGGAGACACATGAGAAGTGGAGGCACTAAGGGACTGGCCCCCAGTTGCAGAGACTGATAGAGCCCAGAGAAACCCTTGGGCCCCCCTGTTCCCAAATATGGGCCTCTTCCTATCCTATAAAGGAAGGGCACCCAAAATAGCAAAAGACGTGTGAGCAAAGGCTGCTGGGAACTTGAATGAGAGGCCTGATGAAGCAGGGCTGGCAGGATGACCTCTCATCTCTGGGAAACCCCGTTGGCATGCCGAGTACCCCAGCATGGCGAAGGTCAATGCCACGGGCACCGGAGAGCGTGCTGGGCTGAGTCACAGGCAGTGTGGCCTATCAAGGCCGGCCAGCAGAGCCAGCCTTATCGGTACCTCGCTGTTTCTCAGGGAACGAAATCCACTCGATGCCATTTGGCGTTTTTCCACACGCTACTCCAAGAATGGAAACAGTTGCCCCTGGTGCGCTCCTTAATTCAGTTTCTAGACCGAGACGTTTGCCTTCCCAGGGGAGACTGAATCGAGGTGTGAGATAAGAGGCAGGCAAACTGGTGGTCATGGTATTCCCCAAACCCTTCCATTACTCACTCACCAAACATCAGCCCACCCCTGTTATCACTGGGAGATCTGCCAAGCCCTGGGCACCCAGCAGTGTCCAGCAGGCAGGAAACACGGACGGTCCCTACCCGCATGGAGTTGTAGCCGGAGCGAGAAGAGAGAAAATAAACGAGATGATGGAATTTCACATGGTCGGCAGTGTAATGAAGACAATCAGTATGGGGAGGGAGTGTGATCTGAGTGGTGGTGGCGCTTCTTTGGTCTGGGAAGCCCTCTTTTACAGGCCAAGTCTGAGCTGCAGCCTTCCTGAAAAAAGGGACCGCAATACAGGATAAGCCCGAGGGAACATGCTCCCAGCAGAGGGAAGACCGCAGGGCCTGAGGAGGGAAAGGACAGAGGCAGGCAATGTCGCTGGCTCACCGCGGACTGAGGGCACCGGTATTAGGTGAAGCTGGGGACGAGGCAAGGGCTGGAGCCACATGAGGCCTGATAAACCATTTGGGGGGGGGGGTTGGGTTTAATTCGTAGTGACCATAGTGCACTGGTTCAGTGTCTGGCTCTCCAACACCTTCCTTTCCTCTGGAGTTTGAAGACCAGCTCCACTGCCCAGCTACGGTCTGAATTCTAAGTGCACAGACCACGGTGATTACATATTGCTGACAGTGGGCTCTTAACAGTCTCCACGTCCACAACGAGGGATTATTGAGGCTGGAGAAGTAGAGACCAAGGTCTCAATTAGCTCCTGAACATGGCAACAGGAGATGGAGAAAGCCTCCTTGTAAAGCCTCTCTTCACCTGTGCGCTGACTCTCGGAGACCCTCGGCCGAACACGACCTCCTCAGCCTAAGTCGGGAGCGCGTCCTGAGACCAGCTAACCTGGTCTGGCTCAGTGAGCCTCCCTGGGGCTGGGCATCCTCGTCACTAATTGTGGGCATTACCGACACCTGTGCCGCTGGCTGCACCAAGCCGAAAAGCCCTTCACCCGCGTGTTTGGCAACTGCCAGCTTTCCAGCAGCTCTTACCGTGACTATTTTATCCATCGCCATCGAAAACCCACCTCTGTCTCACTCTCAGTCTTCCTCACACAATTTACTTCTTTCAAAATCCTGCATAATGGCTTTGTAAGCTTTTGGAAAGAGCCCCTGAAATAGGAAAGGTAACAACCGACGACTGCATATTATGGGCTTTCTGTACAGGTCATTCTTTCCAAGCTGTAGGCAGCAAAGGCGGACGCTGTTTGCTTGTCGGCCATGGAAAAAGCCAAGACCATGTATAGTGACCACCATCACCACCTGTGGCTGTCCTCAGACCCCCGTCACCTGGATGCAAGGGGCCTTCCAGCGTGAGCACAGAGCTCCCCAAATTGAGAAAGGAGGTGCCCTGGGAGCCCAGAGCTGCAGGTGGCTCATGGGAGACACAGCGGCAGCCCCCAGCACTCAGAGGTTCCCTCGGAAGCAGCCCCTCTGCCCCAGGCCAGCAGGCAGTGGGGAGAGCTGAGAACACTGCCCTCCCGGTCTGAGTATCAAGCAGGGCGCTTACCTCCTCTCCTTGGTGCCGGTGCCACAGCTATGACGGGCCAGTCGGTGCTGGTCAGGCACTCCCTGGGCTTTGATTCTGGTGGGTCACTGGCCAGAGGGAGACTGGGCACTAACCACTGCCAGTTATCCCCTCGAAGGGGCCTGAGAGCTAGTGGGAGAGCCTCCTTCCTCTCCGGCTGGAGGAGCAGCACCAACGCCTTTTGAAGCCTAGCCTTCCAGAGTCACACACCTGAATGCAATTCCTCCACCCCCCCACCCCCCCCACCCCCGCCTCCTCTCGCTGCAGGAACCTGCCGGGCCCCGCCCGCCCCAGGCTTCCAGGCTTCTCTCAGAGCCCTGCATCTCCACCCTTGTTCTCCAAGGCTCCCCGGCAGGGCGGCCCTAACTGGCTCAGGAGCCCAGAGCTCACCCCGGAGAGATGCCTGCCCTGGTCTCCCCTAGCCCAGCTCCGGCCCCTCCAGTGTATTTTAAGAGCGAGCCCCTGGGTGGGTGAGGGCCAGAACTTGGGAACTTGGTCCAGCTGAAAGTATCCATTTTCTGGTGATTAATTTACAAACTGTAGGAATTTGAAGGCCAAGGGTCAGGAGATGGGGCTGGGCTCTGTCTAGCGGTTTTACAGGGTGGCTTCAATCCAGGCCAAGGAGCTCCATCTTTCTGCCAGAGACATGGCTGTATTGCATCCTGACTTCCGGGGTCCAGCTTTTCTCAGGACCGCGGCGGCGGCGGCGGCGGCGGCGGCGGCGGCGGCGGCTACCTTTATTCTCAGTGGAAAGGGAAGACAGGCCAAAAGGAGAGTATTTCTTTCTGTGCGAAGTACTGGGGAGAGCAGCAAGGAGAGTTTAACGCACACCCCCATCTATTACGAAAAGTGCTTAGTCATCCTGATTAATTGCCGTTCCACTCAATCCACAGGTGGGCTTAACATAAGGCGTTAACTTATCCTTGAAAAAAGGCATCATTACTCAGGTCTTACTCTAAGCATTTGGGATTTTATTTCCCTTCCCTGGCAAGTATCCTCTCTCTCTGCAGATCAGAGGTTTCTAGATTTTAGGATTCACAGGCATTGTCTGGGTATTAAGAATGCAGATCTCTGCATGAAACTCTGAGATTCCAGGAGGGCTCAGGAGTCTGTATTTTTAAAAATTTCCGTAGGCAATTCTGCGGTGGGTGGTCTGGCACCTGGACTTTAAAGGAATTTTGCCCGAGAATGGGCTGAAACTCCCCTCCCCCAGGCTAGCATTTCTTGGTGTCTTTTTTTTTTTAAATGGAGGTACTGGGGATTGAACCCAGGACCTCATGCGCTGTACCACTGAGCTATACTTACTTAGTCCTTTAAACTCAGCTGACCACCAGCTGTTCTCCATTGTTTCCAATTCACTCTTTTACCCCTGCCCTCAGGAATTCTGCAGCTGACTCCAGTATCTTCCCCCTCCCTCCCCCTCATAAATGAGCCTTGTCAGAGGTTGCAGCATGAGCCTCACAGGTCCTGCAGCTGTAAGAGGCCTTGGAAATGGCACCGTCGAACCCCTGATCATGTCAGCCAACGCCAAAGACATTAAGCTCGAGTTTGGCCCTTTCTCCCACCTGAGGCCCAGACCTCACGCTGTTGCCCCACTACACCACCTGTCCCAAAGCAAATACCGCCCCCCGCCCCCTCCACAGGCTCTTTCTCCTTCACCGTACCCCTACTTTTGGGGAAGAAACCAGGTATGTGGGCCCCACAATCAGTTCCTCTTTCTGCGCCTCGGCTGAGGCAATCAGTGTTCAAATTCCTTATTTTTTTGAGTCAAGTTTAGTTTTAGAGTGAGAGACTCACATCCCATCTGCTCCCCCAAATGGAGTTATCATCCAAGCAACTAGATCTCCTATGATGGTCCCTGCCCGTCACTCTCATCATAAAGCAAGAACTACATGGCCGTTTGATTCAAAGCACATCCACTGAGCACCTACTGTGTGCAGGGGCCTGTGCGAGGCACAGCGAGGGGTATGAAGAGGTCTGAACTGCGTTGATGAGGAAGTCACTGCTGGCACCGTCTTACCCGTGAATTGGCGGAGGGCACTGGGTAGGCGTCCACTGATGAGAGGGGTGTGGGGAAACCTGTGTGCTTTATTTTCACTCTTGGGGCCGGCCACCCCACCTCATCAGCAGCTCAGGTGACCCCAGGTGATGCAGTGGGTGATGCTCAGGATAAACGTTTGTCTGCCTCGTCCACGCAATTCTGCCCGACTTCCCCAGCACTCGAACCCTTCAGACCAAAGAAATGGCTGCATATCTAGTGGTTACAAACCGTTTCTCTACCAGCTCCCAGTGCCGTGGTTTTGGGCAAAGTGCTGTTCCTCCCTCTGGGATAACAGAAGCACTTACACCGCAGGGCTGTTACCAGGATGATATGAATGAATATGTATAAAATGCTTTTAACAGCGGTGAAGTGCTTAAACATTGTTTTTACTATTCAGGCAAACCTGAACACTGTGACCACATATTTATTTGCAGCATAAGACTCTTGATGTTTTCTCACCTGAAGACCAGTAATGTCTTCCAAAGATCTGCTTCATTGGATTTATGTTTCTCACCTCTGTGTTTTAGGTTCTGTATTAGCTTACTCAGGCTTTCCTTCATGTATCCATTTGAATAGTTTTTTTTTCAATCGAGGATGTACTACGTGTCAAGAACTGCGCTAGGTCCTGGGGATACAATGGGTGAACACACAGCCATGACCCCCGCTCTGAAGGAGCTGATAGCCTGCTGGCAGACCAGGTATCAGTTGAACAGTGACACAAAACTGGTGAAATTATGACTGTGCTAAGTATTGAAAAGGAACAGTACCTGGTGTGGAGAGAGCATGGGAGAAGGGGTTTGACCTGGTCCAAGGGTTACAGTAGAACAGGGATGTGAAGGAAGAGACGGAGTTAGCTACATGCAGTGGGGATGGCCTGTCAGAATATTCCCAATAGAGAAATGCCATGTGCCTTATGTATTTGTCAGCTTTGTCGCAGTAACAAATGATCTTCATGTCTCAGTGGCTTACACTGTCAAGGTTTATTACTTGCTGATTTTACAACTAGGCAGTAGGGTGACTGTAGCTTTGCCTGGGCTATGACTCTGGTTCTCATTCGGAGGCTCAGACTGAAGGAACAGCCCCCTGTGTGAGACATTCTTGGAGCATAAAGAAAGGCCAAGAGCACTGGTGGGGACCCGCCATGACTCTGAAGGCTTCTGACTGAGTGCGGCCTTCTCAGGTCTGTTTAAATTCCTTTGGCCAAAGCTCAAAGCCAATGGGACAGGGATGTATAGTCCTTAAACACTGGGGACCTAGCAAGGTACATGGCAACTGTCAGGAAGGTAATCCTCTTACAGGGAAAAGGGTGGGCATGAATAGCTGCAAAAATAATACAATTCACTATATCAAGGCTCTGTGGTAGAAGGGAATGGGAAAAAACCTGGATACCAGCATGGATCATGGTGAGAGGGCTAGCAGGAGGATAATGAGAGATGAGGGTGGAGTGGTAGGCGGGGCCACACCATGGAATCCGAACTTAACACTGTGAGCAATGAAAACACTGACCTTTACCCATTCAACCTCTAGAAAAAATACTTTTCATGTTTTTCTGGTTTCTGAAGTTTATACATGATTATTACAGAAAGTGTGGCTGTGACAGAGAAGTTAAAAAAAATTACAAATCGCCCTGAACTTTATGACTCAGAATCATCGATTGATTTCTAGACTTTTAGATTCTTTCTTAATGTATATAAAGTATTTTCAAAGCCAAAATTGGATCATATTCTTCATCAGTTGCTAGGAATATTTTCTAAGTTATTAAATAGTCACCCCACTATCTCATCACATAAATGTATCCTAATTTAGGCAGTCTCCAACTATTGGACATACAGATTTTTGTATTTTTTCCATTTTACAAAAATTCTAAAATGGAGTTCTTTATATTTAGCAACAGCCATATCGTTTTGTAGAAGTGGCACATTTATCTTAAAGCACATAACACATTTCAAGCCACTGACACACATTACCCAATGTCCTTGGAGAACAGTTACAGCAACTCACAACCCCAAAGCAGGATTTGCCAACTTTGCTGATAATCATTTCATATTGCCAATTTAATCAGTGGAAGATACTTATTTTAAGTTTGCATTTATTTGATAATTCAGGACAGACCTTATTTTCTGTAATTTCCAGGTTTCATCAGGGAAAGACTTACCTGATGAAAAAGCTCAGCCTTTTGGATCTTCTGCTTAGAATGGAATCCTGGTTCCTCTTCACGACTCGTTGCAAGATTTTCTTTTGCTTCCTACAAGAAGTCTTCTCTGATTGTTCCCATCTCTTCACTGTGGGAGCTGCCGGTAAGGATGTGGACAGTTGGCTTTAGGTCTGTGATAGGATGACGTGGTTTCCATACACCTTGTTTCCCCGAATGGGGAGGGCATTTTTCTGTGACTGAATTTTGTGCCTTCCTATAGTGACTCAGTCTGTCTTCTGCATGCATTATGGTCCATAAACATTTGTGAATGAATGCCGAGAAAAGCCATAACGGCACAACGGGTGGGGAGTTTTGACCCGAGGGAAAATCACTTGTGGAGATTGGCATGTGGCTCTGTTAACAAAAGATTGTGGACCAAAAGTCACTGTGTCAGAGAATGTTTGCTTATGTTTTCTGCTAGGAGGTTTATCATATCTTGTCTAACAAACTCATCTACAAAACAGAAACAGACTTGCTGACATAGTAAACAATCTTACGGTTACCAGGGGAAAGGGGGTGGGAAGGGATAAATTTGGGAGTTTGAGATTTGCAAATGTTAGCCACTATATATAAAAATAGATTAGAAAAAAACCCCAAACTTCTTCTGTAGAGCACTGGGAACTATATTCAATACCTTGTAATAACCTTTAATGAAAAAGAACATGAAAAGTAATGTATGTATGTATATGCATGACTGGGACATTGTGCTGTGCACAAGAAAATGACACATTGTAACTGACTTACTTCAATTAAAAAAAAGTCATTGTGAATGCATTTCAGGGTCTCCTTTTAGACTGTAGTCTGACACCAATTTTTCAACTTTCGTAATATAATTTGATAGGAACCCAATTACTTTTTCTCTTAGTGGGAGTCAAAGAACTTTTATCCATTTGCTATGTGGCATGATTTCCAGTTAATTTTATTAGAAGTTGGACTTTTTTCTCTTGTTACAGACGATGCTAATGTCTTGTGAAGCTAGTCTG